CCTCACTTTTGAGGACACCATAATAGTCCTTCAGGCAGGTGTTCTCCCTGAATGGCTTCTGGCCATCTCACTTCCTTCTCTTTTCTTTTCGGGTTGACTTGTTTGCTCTGAGGGCAGCTTGGTAGAAAGCTGCTGTTGTCTGCTCCATGAACAACAGATTGAAATGCTGTCCGGTCCTGCGCCATTCTCATCATCACCGACATGTTCGCATCTCTTGCTGCCGTTTCTGCGCCAGTCCAATTCACAGGGGCTCTCCCTCCCTCGGTATTTCTCCAGACACGATGTCCTCCTCCAGCTGTTGATCCCTCCGGATGATGGACCCAAAGCAAGTGAGCTGGGCCAGGCTCAGGTGTGCTGCTTGAGGTTTTCAGTGGTTCACTATGGAAAGTAGACGGCCAAGTTTTTCTGTATTGTCTCGCCAAGCTCTGCTGAAACAGAGCTGTCGAGGTGACTCTGCTAGTGTTTGCGTCACAGCATCATGGCAATGTTCAACTCACTGATGGGTTGCGGCCAAGTGTCTTTCTTACTCCCCGTCTTGATGCTGCATTTGCATCACCCCTCCAAGTTCAGGGTCTGGTAATTTCCCGATGGCTGTTCTGGAGGTGAGCCGTGAAGAAGACAGTTTGTGGAGAGTCACTTTGGTTAGACAGAGTGGGAAATGCCCATCATGCCAGGCACTGGTGGCTTTTCCAAGGGCTTCTTTCTGCCTTCTTCCTCTTTCTGTGCTCTTATCTTCTTGTTTCTTCTGAAGTCGATGACTGCTCACGTCTCTTAAGTTCTCACCGGAGTTCTTGGTGACCATCACACGTCCTTTCCTCATGGGCACAGTCTGTGTTTCACCCTGTGCTTCTTTCCATGAGCAGTCTCTTTGGTGTACGCTGGTTGGTTGATGGATGTTTGACTAGGTGGCCGCATATGTTTACCAGCAAGTAGTTTGTAGGCATATTGCTGCAGTGACTTGCTTCTTAGATGCCAGTGGCAAGCGAGATAAATGGGTGGGGACACTGAACGTGAGGTGTGGGCAGTGAACCAGCGAGTTCCCTTGGCAGGTGTTCCCTCACTCTCCCAGGCAGCTGTGTGTGACCTCTGGGGGGAAATCTGCAGAGGCATGGCTGCCCAGACCAGGTGTAGGTACCCATGCTCCTTCATGACGCTTTGGGTACTAGCATTTGGTGTTAGATAATGTTTAACCTTGTCCTTGTGTTGTGAATGGATGCGTTTCTGTGGAAAAGGTGGTCGCTACCCACAAATTCCCGTGCCTTGTGTATAGCATTCCTATGAAGTGGAATCGACTTGATGGCAAGAGTGTGGTTTTAGTTTTGAGTGTCTTAATGGAAATTGTGTAGGAGTGCTCTCAGAAGAGGTCATTCTGCCACATCTGCGCATGGATTCTGGTAGCACACCAATGCCGTGGGGTAAAATTAACCGGCTTCAGGGTTGAAATGCTGATTGTCAGCGTTGGCCAAGTCAGATCATTTTAAAACCTCTTTATCCACTAGACAGATTCCTTGAATAGGTGCTGTTTTTAATGACGCATTCACAAGCTAACCTCACCAAAGGATTCAATGGTGATAGATTGGGGATAACATTCCTTTTTAAAATTATTTTAAAAAACCCAAACAAGTCCCCAATAAACAAGTGGCCATCTAGCTGAGAAGTAACAAATCCATGTGGAAGAAGCACACTGGCTTGTGTGATCATGAGATGTTGATGGGATCAGGTATCAGGCATCGAAGACCCAGAACAAAAAATCATATCACTGTGAATGAGGGGGAGTGAGGAGTGGAGACCCAAAGCCCATCTGTAGACAATTGGACATCCCTTTTTAGGACAGTCACAAGGAACAGACGAGCTGATGAAGCATACAACTTTCCTCTACTTCTTTAATGTTTTCACACACTATCATGATCTTACAAATCTGGCTAGACATGTACATGGTTACAGATGTGCATGGTTACAGAAGAGCTGGAAACACAGGGAACACAGGGCAGATAAACCCCTCAGGAACAATAATGAGAATAGTGATACCAAGAAGGTAAGGGGAAAATTTGGGGAATATGGGGAAACTGATCACAATAATCTACATATAACCCCCTCCCAAGGGGCTGGAAAACAGAAAAGTGGATGAAGGGAAACATCAGTCAGTGTAAGAAATAATAGGTTTTATAAATTATCAAGGGTTCATGAGGGAGGGAGGGAAAAAATGAGCTGATATCAAGGGATAAGTAGAAAGAAAATGTTGGCAACATAATGTACAAATGTGCTTGACACAATGGATGTATGTATGGATTGTGATAAGAGCTGTATGAGCCCCCCAATAAAATGATTAATGAACAAATCCCTTAGTAATTTGTGTCACATGTAAACTATACATGTGAACCAGTCAATGTTATGTTGCATGTTCAAGGGAGCTCCCAAAAGTTTGTACAAAAACGAAAAGACCATGGGACTTTTTACAAAATTTTTGAAGCCTCCTCATATATATTAACTGCAATAAAAAAAGTTCATCTTTATCCTAGATTCAAGTAATTCCTTTACATGCCTTAGTTTCTGATACCGTCTTACACTCTGAGATAGAAGAGGGCCGAGCCATTCAAGACTGTGTTAAGCCCTGCTTTGCGCAACAGCGAGTGTGCACACGTGCTTGTCGTGGATGAGTTATCAGTGCTGGCCTTTCCCCATCCTGGCTGTGTTTTCTAAGCTGCCAAACAGCACATTGAACCCAGTGCCTTAGTTTGAGCCATATAGCTTTCACATTTTGGGCCAGCATCGTTGATCCCGAATTTTGTTCCAGAGCCCACACACCTGTCTTAGTTTTTGTTTTTAATTTATTGTTGCAAAAAAAAAAACACAACAAAAGACACGCGAATTAAGCGATTTCTATATGTGCCGTTTAGTCTGTATGTGTCTTCCAAGTTGGGTCCCCCTTCACCTCCTCCCCGCTCACTCCATCTCTATTGCAGCATGCAGCAGGACTTCATTTCTGAGAATCCTTGCATTGTAAGGATGTACCATGTTTTGTTTACCCAGTTGTCTGATGATGGGCATTTAAGTTGTTTTCCCCTGTTGGCTGTTGGGAGTAGCGCTGCAATGAACCCCAAACCCACTGCTTTCCAGGTGATTCTGATTCCCAGTGACCTGGTACAGGGTTTCTGAAACTAAATCTGTATAGGAGCGAATACCATATATACTCGTGTACAAGCCGAGTTTTTCAGCATATGTTTAATGCAGTTTGCAGTTTTGAGCAAATACTGTATATACTCGTGTATAAGCCAAGTTTTTCAGCACATCTTTCATACAGTTTTTGTGGTAAAATTAGATGCCTCGGCTGTTATTCGAGTTGGCTTATACTCAAGTATATACGGTAGCCACATCTTTCTCTTGAAACAGCTAGTGAGTTTGAACCAAGGACTTTGTGGGCAGCAGGTCGATGACTAGCCCACAACACCACTAGGGTGAAACGAACATTGATGTGCAGGTCTCTGAGTCTTGGCTTTAAAATATTTGGGGTATCTACCAGGAAGTGGAATTGCTGGGTGATAGGTCTTCCTATTTATAGATTTTGGAGGCACCGCCACCCTGTTTTCCGTTAGGACTGTACCATTTGTGTTCCCATCAGCAATGGGGAAGGATTCCAGTTGCTCCATATCTGTGCCTTCATTTGTTACTTATTTGTCTTAGGCATCCTATTGGGGCCTTTTAACATTGTTGTGTCAGAAAATATAATAAGCCCACATGCTAAGTAAGTCTTTATCTTTTATTCTTTCAACACATGCTCTCTTAGTTGCTTACAGTTGTCCTGTATATTTGATTTTCATTTTATTTGTCTGTGTATCTACTTAGATTTGTAGTGGCGGGATGATTAGATTGATGTTTAATGAGCCAGTTCAGGGATCGTCTCCATTTCTATTCTAAAAGAGCTAGCTTCTTTCTTTTTATTCTGATTGAAAAATAGCTTTATCTCCTCCCCACAGTGCTTGCCATGGCATTTTATATATAACAGGCGATAATAAATAGGCACTGGATTAAATTACTTTGTTGTGTGCCTGGTGCATTTCTAGTGGTTTCTTGGCTACTTCTGGCAGCAGTAGTTGTCAGCGTTCTCCCAACCATTATATACACGATCTTTTCTGCACCATCAATTTTGACAAAAGCTCAAAATATTATTCAAGAAAGTAAATCAAATAGCCTTAATGGTGTGTGTGTGTGTGTGTGTGTGTGGTGCGTTTTAAGAAGAGTGTATTTGGGTACCCAAATGCTCTATTTGTAGACATAGCTGCACTATTATTTGCTTCATCCTTTCTTTGACCATTTTGCTAACTTAACACTTCATCTGTGCAAGCTAAAAGAGAACGTGGAAAATCATGTTCACCACGTGATGGGTCTTACTCCTCACAGCTGAGTGGCCACTGTGTGGCAATGACCGCTTGGGAGTCACTCTGGGCCCTGGCATTAAGGCATTGGACTCGGGGTTTCTGAGACCTGGCTAACTGTAAATTCACCCTTTGCAATTCTAGAAGTCTTTCACCCTTTTTAATCTGTAAAATGCACACGGTTTGCAGATGTTGGTACTTGTAACTGTTTTCAGGGGATGGGGGGTGGGTGGAGAGGCGGGTAGGAAATAACCTGTAACATGCCAGAATGTCTTTCTGAGGAGCAGGCCACTGTGTGGCACGGTGCTTGGGAATATTGGAATATTGACGTTGGTAAGGGTTTGCTCCTTTGCAGCATTGAGTATGAGGAGGAAACCTTTTGCATGGCCTTGCCTGCTGTTAGCCTTGGTAGACTTGGAATTGAGAGAAAATATGTCCCTTTTAGAAGATGATTTTATTGTGTGAGCTTTACTTTTTTATTCTTTATTACTGGTTTTTGCGATTGTAAACATTACATCACACCGGAAATGTTATGATGACGTGTCTGCAACTCTGGTAGGTTTGCTTTATTTTTGGAGAGCGTAAAAACTAATGTAATTAATGTGCCCTGTTTCCCCCCTCCTATAGGTCTTTCCTTATGCAGGATGAATTAAGAGGAACAGCTGCTAACTAATTAGGAATGGAGAGCAGTTTGCCAGTTTCCAACATGCAAGACCCTTCCTCTTCACCCTTGGGAAAACCTCACAACTCAGCCAATGGTAATGGAGATCTGGATTCAGGTAGGACTATGTTCTCTAGTGCCGCCTGGCTTCCTGATGGATAGACTAAAATCTTTAAAATGCTCAGGGAACCACAGGGCATCATTTTGATCTTCACATACCGCCTGCACCTAGAATTTGCTGTCATATTTATAAGCACGTAGCAGCTTGAAAGTTATGCAAGGTTTGGTTCAAAATTGCTATTTCCTCTAGTAGTGGGAGCAGGCTAGGTTATACTGAGATGTTGGATGGCTTGAGAATCTCAATGGCTTATCACAGTACACACACCCTGCTAGATCAAAGGGGTGTTCCGGTCCACAGAGCAATCTGCATTTCAGTGCTGCCATCTCAACATCTCAACCAGGAGGCCCAGGGCTTTTCAGGCAGGGGCAAAGCAGAGGCACTGGGTAGGAGACTAACAAGTCAGTGTTCTAGCTCAGTGGGAGATGCTCCTTCCACCCATGGGGAGGCAAGCAGTGTAATTCTCATCCAGGTACCGGGGAGCAGAGAACAGGGCCTGCTGGACCTCAGATGCCACTCTACCCCCAAACCCCTCTCTCGATCCTGGAGCCCGACTTCCGCAAATGCCTCTCAGGATCCTAGAGCCCGTCTTTCATGCAAAGTACATGCTAGTAAAGAAGTTTAGATTATGTGTGTGCATTTGTGGTGGTAAAGTGTTTCTTTGGTCCTGCAGGAAATAAAAAAATAAGCCTTTGAATGAATTTCATTTTTAACAAATGTATTTATAAGTGGATCTATTTCTAAATATTACACGAAGGGTTATTTTAAAAGGATTTGAGGAAACAAACTTATTTATATAGCGGACAATTCAATAAGGACTTAGCTGTCTAGATTATAAATATTTCAGGTATGACAAAGCCATGTTAAAAAAAAGTAAACATTAACTACGTTGGGGATTTGACTGCTTTTCCAATGAGACAGGTTAGCAGGCTGGTTGTCTCACCTTTGTCTCAAAGAATTTAGAAAGTTTGTCCTCTCATTTGGGTGAGACCAGTCAATGGTAAAGTTACAGATAGCTTGAGATGGCCAGCTTTATTATATTATGTTTCTTAAAGTTTTATCTGGAGCCCTTTCTTTACCTGGAAAGAACCTGGAAACCCTGAAAGAAGTGATTGCCCAGTGTGTTGAAAGGTGTTGGGATTTCTTTCCTAGCCAGCTCAGGCCGCCTGCACAGAAAGCAGGAGGGAGCAGACAAGAAGCCAAAGCTGCTTCCCTTTGGACATGGGAGTATGTATATTCCTTTCTGACAGCAGTTAGTGCCTTGGCTGAAGGGTTTAACGTAGTCATTCTATTGGTATTTAACTATAAGTGAAAACCCAACCAACCAAACGCAGCCATCAAGTGGATTCTGGTTCACTGTGACCTTACCGGACAGATAGAACTAACTGCCTCTTTGGATTCCAAGGCTGGGAGTCTCTTGGGGAGCCAACAGCCTCATCTTCAAAGTGGCTGGTGAGTTTGAAGTGCTGACCTTGTGCTTAGCAGTTCATCACATAAACCACTACACCACCAGGGCACCCTTTAACTACAAAATAAGCCTTTTACAAAAAGTGTTTCTCGGGCTTGCTTGACTGAAGTTGCTTTTCCACTTTCGGAGTCTGAACTTCCAATGTATTTTTGTAGCCGGTCGCCCCCACAAATCTGCCGCCGTCTTCTGCATCCTTTCCAGTGTTGTGGTTTCTAAAATTGTTTATTTAAAATTCAACCATTTACTGGCTTTCAATTTTCTTGCAGTTGCAATATATCTCTCAAACTTAAGTAGCTTCTGAAACTCATTAATGATAATCTGCCATTAATGTCAGGAAAATAATTGTACTGACTTTTCCTTGAAAATGATCCTATCTCTTGTGTGGGGAAATAGTAGAGCTTGATTTGTTATATCATTGGCTGGGATATGCCATGGTGAAAGCCCATCTGAGGTTTATTAGTTCTTTGCTCTGTGTAGGGAACAACCTAAATCATGGGAAGACGTTGCGATCTTTACTAGAAATACTACGTCTAAGTAGCTCTGAATTACCTTAACATTTTAAAAAAGAGATTTGCCCTGGGCTTACTATTCCTTGTCTTTCTTTCCGCTATTGCAAATCCTTCCTTCTATCCTTGGGGTTGCCTTATGTGCTTGTGCTGGGAGTGGACTTTTAGATGGACCACCAAGTTGCTGCTTATTTCACTTCATAGCACAAGGTAAGGAAACACTTGCCTGGTCCTGCATCATCCTTGACACATTGTTGCAACCATTGGGTCAATCCATTTCCTTGATGGTTTTCTTTTTTGCTGACTCTTCCAAGATTGATACCCTTTTCTAGGGCCTGGTCTCTCCCAATAACACGTCTGTAGTTCTTGGGACAGAATCTGACCCTCCTCACTTCTAAGGAGCATTTTGGCTGTACTTCTTCCAAGACAGATTCTCTTGTTCTTCTGGCAGCCCACTGTACTTCAGTATTCTTTTTCAACAGCCTAATTCAAATGCACCAATTCTTTGTTCTCCCTGTTCACGCTCCAGCTTTCACGTGGATATGAGGTGATGGAAAAGACCATGGCTTAGGCCAAGCCCTCTCCTAGTTCTCCATTTGACACCCTTGCTCTTCATAGTCCCTTACGTCACCTTGTCTTCTGAATCCAGCTTGAGTCTCCGGCAGCTCCCTGTTGATGTACCACTGCAACCCTTGTTGGATTATCTTTAGCAAAATTTTACTTACACGTGCCATTGATAATATCGTTTGATAATTTCTGAATTCTGTTGGGGCACCTTTCTTTGGAATGGGCACAAATAGGGATCTCTTCCCAGCCAGTTGGCCAGGTAGCTATTTTCCAAATTTCTTGGTATAGACGAGTGAGTACGTCTAGTGCTTCTTCAGCTTGTTGGAACATTTCAGTTGGTATTCCATCAGTTCCTGGAGCCTTGCCTTTCACTGATGCCTTTGCTGCAGCCTCTACTTCTTCCTTCAGGATCATTGATTGCTTACAGTCTACTTCCTGAAATGGTTTAATGTCAACTAGTTCTTTGTGGTACAGTGACCATGTAATCCTTCCATTTTCTTTTGATGCTTTCTGCATCTTTCATTATTTTGCCCATAGAATCCTTCAATGTGGCAATTTGAGGCATGGCTTTTGTATTCAGTTTTTTCAACTTGACATATGCTGACTGTGTTTTCCCTTTCGGGCTTTCTAACTCCTGGTCTGTGCACATTTCATTAGAGTACTGTGTCTTATTGAGCTGCCCTTTGAACTTTTCTGGTCAGCTCTTTGAGTTCATTTTTTCTACCATTTGCTTTAGCTGCTGTACATTTAAGAGAAAGTTTCAGTTTCTTTTGACAGTCACTTTGATTTTCTTCTTTCTTGTCTTTTGAACGACCTTTTTCGTTTTTTATGACTGATGCTCTTGATGCCATCCCAGAGCTTATCCGGTCTTCTGTCATTAGTGTTTGGTGAGTCATGTCTGTTCTTGAGATGTTCTTGTATTTCAAGATAGGTAGGATAGCCTCAAAATCCTATTTCAGATTTCATGACTTGTTTTAATTTCATTTAACTTCAACCTGAACTCACATGTGAGCAAGTGACGATCTGTTACACAGTGGGCCTCCTTGTGGCTGCTAATATTGCGCTCCTCTATAGTCGCTTCCTGCAGTCAGTTTGCTTCTTGTCTGTTCCACCTGACAAGGTTCACGTGTACACTTTGTTGTTTTAAAGGTGTTTGCAATGAAGAAGTCGTAGGTCTTGCAAAAATTGATCATGTGATCTCCAGCATCATTTCTATCATTGAGGCCTTGTTTTCCAACCTCTGTCCCTTCCTTTCTGAATCCAACTTTAGAATTCCTGTCACTAGTAATTGTCGGTGCATGTTGAATTTCTTCATCACTACCTTTAGTGGTTGCTGCATAATTCTGAAAAACAGTTGTATCAGCAAGATTTCCTTGAAGGCATACAGTTATTATCCTATCCTATTTACTTTAAGATAGATCTTGGGGGGGAAAAAAAAAGATCAACCTTGAAGTGCTCTTTCCCTCCATTTTTTAAATAGTTATTGGTACATAAACCACATATCTCACAATTCAATATTTTAATCATATCAAGAAGAGTTGTATAGTGATTATCACAATTTTAGAACATTTCCTTCTTTCTTGTACTCATTGTTGACAATGAGTGGAAAGCCAGTCCTCCTGAATTGTCACTTCTGGCATACCATATGATTGTCTGGTTCAGCATACCTGATACCCAGTCCTTTTCAGCTCACTAATACCTCGGATAGGGGTCTAGGGCCTGCATTTCATTTTTGACCATTTCCAGTTTTCCTAGATTCAGACATTGCAGCCTGTCCCGCTCATGTTGGGTCGAGCCCCATCGGTGAATGGAAGCTCTACTCCATTCACACCCTGATCGATTCTACTTCCATGAGCATCTTTTCCTACCTTGTCTTCGGAGTGCCTTCCAATCTGAGCAGCTCATCTCTCTCTGACAGTGTTACGCTGTTATTCATAAGGTTTTCAGTGGCTAATCCTTCAAAAGTGGACAGCCTAGTCCTTCTGGGTAGACAGACTCCTTTAAGGAAGACTTAGATTACAGGACGGTCAAAACATCGTGAAGAACTGAGGCTGGCTTTATTTACAAATGACAATCTAATAGCCTTTACCCCATTAGTAATTTAAGTATAGTTCTTTAAGTAGTTCACTTTGATTTTGTTGTAAGGTAATTCACTCTGAGAGGAGCCCTGTCACAAACAATGACGTGCTTGGCTGATGATAGAAAGATGGGCAGTTCCTTGGGAGCAAGACGTGGCAACCTGCTCTCATAAAGATCACCCCCATGGAAACCCTGTGGGGTCCTTCCTCATCACTACCTTTAGTGGTTGCTGCATAATTCTGAAAAACAGGTCTATCAGTCCTTCTGCACTGTCACCAGGAGCTGATATGAGTTGAAGGGGACTCGGTGGCACCCAACAACAATAGTAACAGTTCACTTTGAACCTGTGAATATATAAAGTAATTTCACTTCTGGAATCC